CCCCCCCCCCCCCCCCCCAAACAACACATTGAGGTGGCTCCAGTGCTGCACGGTTTCACCTGCATGTGGCAGCTAAACGGCCCGGAGCATGATTTCAGCACGTTGGCCTGCTGCATATTCGTGACCCGCCCTGTAAAACTCCATTCGAGCCACCTGCAGAAAATCTTGTGTCGCACCTGGCTTCGCCTTTCGCTATGCATCCGAAGCAGAGTTGCCCCGCTTGCGACACGTTGCTGCAGGGACGAATACTACGACCACTGTACGTACTACGGCTACGATTACTAGTACCGCCACCACCACCACGAGGACGACGACTCCTACCACTACCACAACCAAAAGAGGGTTCAAAAAAGCGTGCTGAATCGTATCATAACCAAGTCTCTCATGCTTTTACTGCGCAAGGCTTATGGCGAAAGGTTGCGAGTAGGATTATGCTTCAGACTGCGGACTGTGCTTGCATCCTGCAGGTTCAAGCAGCACAACAATTTTCAGCCTACGCGAGAGATCAGCTTTAAGCATCCAGCCGATTCAGCTCTGCTAACACCGAGAGGAGAGACGGCTCTCGCCTCAAACACGAGAGTTGCGTGAGCTCAGCCTGATTTTGAGCCCATCCAAAGCCCAGCATCTGGCAACCCGGGGTGCCGTGATTTTCCCCGTCGCAAAGCCCCGATTTTCTGCCCCGGATGGCACCGGCACCAGTGGCCTTTTGCGGCGTTGCGGCACCGAGCGAAGCTCGTGGCAGCGCCTTGGAGCGAGGCTCGTCCTTTTAAGGATCGGAGCTCCCGCGAGCCATCATCTTTAGATCCTATACATAGATCATGCTGTCCTTTGATACCTGTTGTGGCATTCTGTCAGGTTCTACTGTGTTAGTCTATTGCTGCGCGAGATTCAGACTGCGATGCATCATTCCCCACCCCCCGGCGCAGCGAATCCGAGGATGCCTTATTTGTTGCGAAGAGCGCCACGTTCTCAGTTTTGCAGAGGCTTGCTGTAGACGGAAGCAGGAGAAGCTCCCAGAGTCGCTGCGTGAACGCAGTGTGTCGAGGACCCAAGTATGTGGCTGTGGGCCACTGTGGGCATGCGGAAGTCTGCTGGATCTGCATCATCAGGCCCGTTCGGGAGCCTTTCTGCTCCTTTCGGCTTGCTTGGAAGGCTTTTCGTAAGGGTGAGGGCCCGTCTGAACATGCATGGTTTTTTGGCGGAGGCTTCGCACCCTCATGAAGGACATCAACTGTCCGGTCACTTGGCGCTTGCATTGACCTTTCGTCGCTTCTCTGCTTCGAAAGTCTTCGTAGACCGTACACGCAGGTCTGCAAAGTACCCATCACAGAGATGGCAATCACACCAGATGGTCGAGTACCGGCACGAAATGCTCTCAAAGATGACAAGCCACCAGGAAGCAGTCCATCAACATCCGTACTTTTCATGCTTATGACCATTATCAGTGTTCGTATTACTACCAGGAGTGCCCTGTTCCTTAATCAGAACCGACTAACAACTAGCGTTGCATTCCTGGAGCGGCATCCGAAGACCAGCCTTGGAAATGGGCTGAGTCTAAGTTGGGGTCCGCTAGGGTGGCATGTAGCTCGTGAGTTCGACAAGTGAGTTGCATCGGATTTACACAGCAAACACAAATCTCCTATACAAGACAGAGCCGATCTCGCGTGCCCCTGCAGGGGTGACAAGTCTGTCATGCCTGCAGAGAAACCTTTACTGCCGCTATTGCCGCTCTTGCTTTCTACCGTTAGGATGACTGTTGTGACTCAGATGTCGCCGACACATCAAGGCTTGGACTCGTTTACAGTAGCGCCTCCGTGCGCGAAGACGTAGAAGGATTGCATCTTGGACTGCACTGAAGCAGATTGGTTGTAAGCGGCTGCTTCATGCTTAATTGCATGGGCTTGCTTAGTTTCTTGTGTGTCAGGTTCGATTACCGCTGCTGGCAGAGAAGCTGCGTGGAGAAGGACGAGTGCTTCCCTACCCTGGAGGAAAGGCAGTGATGTTTGTGTCGAACATCTGTCACCTGCCGAACTCCGACAGGCTCTTCAACGCCACGTAGAGCAAGTGCATCGACGTCGCTTTTGTTCGACATGTTTGCGAGGCAAATGGCGCAGTCTTCTTGTCTGCGCGGACAACAAATCATCTAAATTTTAGAAGCCTGTCTCGGTCTTCGTTGCTGGATAAGGACCATCCTGAATTCGGAGCCCCGCTTAGGAACTCACTTGCGAAGCCTTCCATGGCCCAAGCAAGCAGGGAAGAAGCTTTGACAATCAGACGTAGTTGGCATTGCAGGACGCAAAGCCTTCCTCTTTGAGCAACTGCTCTACTCACCGGATGACCTGCGAAGACATCACGAAGACGGGGACACACCAAGCACTGTGGGCGACAAGCTCAGCAGTGTTGACGGGCTCATGGATTATTTGCAGCTTTTCTCAGGTCCCAACTTGCCAACGTGTCCATCTCATGCCTCTTGTGCTTTTTGCAAGACAAGTTTCTACTCAGAGGAGGACCTCCAGCCGCGCTGAACGCCCCTGAAACATCCGGAAACCCAAGACTTTGCATGGCTTTACCTGCAGTCACCGTGAGAAGGATCTGTTGGAGCACATGCAGATGAAACATCAGCCCTGCGGCTTATGTGGCCTGGCGACATCAGTCCTGGCGCCGTATGGTGCCCGTTTACCCTTAACATTATAAGTAGCGATCCATATGTTCGATGGTCCGGCCTACGTTCCTGTGGTTGCTGAGTGCTGCAGTCTGCATGCATTCCGCTGCAGTCCCTCCTTTGGCGCTTGCAGCCTGTCCCGCTGCAGCCCATGTCCCCCCCACGCCGCTGCAGTCCTACATTCCTGCGGCCTTTTCTGCCTGCAGTTCAAGCAGTCCGCAGAGAGTCTTGAGAAGGGGATTTTTTGGGAACGGAGTTCAACTCAAACTTTCTCGTTAATGCGTATTCGCTCTTGAAATCATAAGTTTCTGGATGCTTGAGGGTACCCTTGTTTGGCTGCAGCCGTGCTGGACCCTTGCTCAAAAAATTCCATGCGAGCCGTATTGCTACCAGCGTGCGTCGCTGTCGTCGTCATGCTCGTAGTCGTTGCAGTCGCACTCGTGGCCGTGATTTCGTGTCTTCGTGGTTTCTTGCTCGTGGTCGTGGCGCCACCACCACCACCCGCCCCACCTCTGATTGCCATTGGTGGTCTTGCCAGCATAAGAAGCATGATTATCATGTGATGTATGGGTTCAAAAAGCCAAAGGCACAGCAGGAGTCGCCCGCTTTACTGAGGCGAAAAGCTGGGCAGAAAAGGCGAATACTACTACGACTACAACCACCTGTCCTTACATTACGAGGCCTGCTTCTGAAAAGTTGCCTGTCGTGACAGGACGTTGTAAATGTATAGTCATTGCCGTAGTACTCGTAGTATCTTCAAATTGCCCCAGGAGTTTTGGCACCACAGTTTTACAAAAGCTGAGAAAGACTTAGCTGTATTGAAAGGCTGTGAACTCGAAGAACCAGGCCAAGCAAAGCCGTGCCAAGCCATTCAACTCAGAACTCCTGAAGCCATTGTCCAGCCGCAACCCTTGTCTAACAATAAACCCTTGTCACACAGAGACCCCTGTCTGACGAAAACCCTGTCTAAGAGAAACTGGTGCCTACCAGAAGCGTGTGTCCAAAAGAAAGCCGTGTTCGACGAACTTTTGTCGAACAGAAAGCCGTGTCTAAGAGAAACCCGTGTCTTTAATGAACCCCGTTTAACAGAACCCGAGTCTCACAGAAACCCATGTTCAACAGAAAGCACTGTCTTGCAGAAACTTTGTCTAACATAGCCCACCGTCTGTTGTAAGCCTCTGTCTGACAGAAACCCTCTATCCAACAGAAGCCACTGTCTAACAGAAGCCGCAAGGAGTGTCCAGGAGTTGGAGCACTTGAAGGGCTATACCCATCATTGATCAAACACTAATACTCTGACAGCAACAGGAATAGTCACAGTGAAACAAATTGCGGGCGAGCTGAGTTGTATTCAGCGAGGCAAAATATAGTATTACATATATCACAGGGGAGCTTGCGCTATGCAACTATGGGTTCAGTAGGAGGCGAAGGTAACGAACCTTATTGTTTACTATTACGAATAGTGCATTGTCTAATGGTCATGATTGCAATGTGTCCGTGCTCGTGTTCTCGGCACATGTCCTCTTGAATCAGTATGGTCTGCAATGCCTTCACTCTTGCACTTTGCGGTGTTTGCAATAGGGCGCTGCTTTGCCCAACCCAGTTCAAAGGCACAGGGTAATGCGAGATCTCTATGTAACACCCCCTATCACACTTGGACCTCTCGGTGAATTTGTGAATGTGCGCCTGCATATAGAAAATGCAGAGAGAGAGAGAGAGACGGTTGGTATGATACGCGCATAGATGCATACATGCAAGCACACGAGCATGTGCATGTGTGTACGTTTGAATGATTGTATGGCTATGAGTGCATATACACATCCGCACACCAGGCGTGTGTCTTTATCATTTTCTTTGTTGTTATGTGTCCGTACTCAAGCATTGCATAAAATGCAGTTTGCATGGCCATCATCCTTGTGCACAGCGTATATTGCGCGCCAGACCTGTTAACAAAATCTTTGCAGACACTGCAGTCTCCGATGGGCGGGGGATCTTATGAAACGTAATACGAGCGAATTTCTGTCCCAGGAGGACCACTATGTATGCAAGCACGAGAAATGCCAACGGGGCTCCCTACGCCTGGTTGCCTTCAACACAGAAGACGAGTTGTTTCCTGGCACGAAGAGCTCCGGTCCTTTGTGGGTGCAGTCTTGGTCACACTTGGCTGAGGTGGCTGCACGAGGTGAAGGCCCACTCGTACAAGTTCGATCAAAGTTAGCGTGCGTATAGTTCTCCTTTTGTCGCACCGATGCCTTCATGATATCTGCCTGATAAACCCAAAAACGGGTTCATGACTGATACTGGCTCCCTGCCCATGTAAACAGCTGGTTTGTGTTGCCCATGACCTCCGCAGGCACACTCCGTCAAAATGTCACAGAAAGCCCGCAGACGAATCGGGGATGAAGGCGTGCGGTTAGATTCGGGGAGGATGCTGGAATTATCTTGGCATTTGCAGGCACCACCGTGAACATCTCGATGGGCGCCACATCTTACCGCGAGGATGCCTGATTAGGGCTGGGGGTTGGAATCCACGTGTTACGCCTCGAAGCACTGGAACCGGTACGAGCATTCACCAGCTGTCCTCGTCCACGCAGCTTTTAACTTGCTTCAGTTCGGCAGCCGTAAACAGTGACCAAGCGGCGTCGACTAGGCTCACATGCAGCTTGAGTGTATCGGTGCCGTGACACGCACATATCGCCCATCTGCGTCTGCTCTGTCTTGCGCTGTCCTTGTTGGCCTCCTCTCTGCTCCCTGGAGACTTTCCTGTGAGGAGGCTCCTGCGCCCAAAGCGAAGGCGAAGGCGAAGGCGAAATCCAAGGCGACGAGTGATCGCTGGGCTGTGGAGCTGGCCGAAGCCGAGGTGGGGCTGGTTGTTAAGGGTGGGCTCAAGAGTTTAAGATTTAGGCTTTCGAGGGTTTGAGGTTTAGGGTTAGAGTTTAGGCCTTAGAGTTCATTGTTCCGCGTTTAGTGTTTATGGTCTAGTTGAAGGTTGTGAGTTTATAGCTTAAGCTTAGGAGCTTTAAGGAAAAGGGTTTAGAGCTAGAGCTGAAGAGGTTCAGGTAGAATGTAGAAAGTGCGCAAAGTGTAGGCTAAAGAGTTGAAGGTTTTGGGTTTAGAGCTTCGGGCTTAGAGTTTAAGCTGGAGGGTTAGGGTCGGGGTTTAGTGCTATAGAGTTTCAGGTTTAGGGTGTAGAGTTTTTGTCTAAGGTTTAGGACTTAAGAGTTTAGGCTGAGGAGTTTAAGGCTTAGGAGTTTGGAATGAAAGGTTTGGAGTTTAAGGGTTTTTGAGTTCACGGTTAAAGGTTTAGGAGTTTAGGGTGTAGAGGTTTTGCAGGCTTCGGGTTCGGCGACTCCTGTTTGCGAGGCCTGCGGCGGGACGGTCCACTTCATGCGCCCAAGAGGGACGCCGAAGGCGGTGTGTGGCATATCTTTCCTTTGCACCTGCAGGTTAACAGTGTTTCTGGTGTCTTTGCTGCACAGGAAAAATCAACAAGTAAGGGGTGGCAGGAAGGGTGGAACAGACGGTTGGACGCCCGCAAAAGCCAACAATGGCCAGCATGCATTCCCAGGTTCCGTGTAAGGTTTCACGGACCAGACGCCAGATCTGTGTCGACCGAGAAAGTGCGTTTGGCTCCACCTTTCACAAGCATGGCCAAGTCAAAATATTGGTGCAACTAGCTTGCACATCTGAACAGCAGTGACAACACAGCTGGTCTGGGACTGGCATGCAGTGTCCGGGATGTCGGTATGACACATTGGCGTGCGTCGCTGGGTATCTGCGGTGAATCGTTTGACATCATACGGCTGAGATAGCGCAAACCCTTGTGTAACTCTTGATTCGGTTGCTGCAGGCGCCGCAGGAGGGCGACTGGCCAAAGCTGCCTGTTGGGGCCCTAGTGACGTGGTTTGAGGGTTTAGGGTGCCTTCTCCGATGTCCTTTGGCAGAGCTTCCGAAGCCTTGCTTCTTTCAGCTGTAAGGTTTCGTGGGTTGAGGCTATTGAGGCTTGCTGGGCTTAGGAGCTGGGGTTTAAAGTCGTGACCGTCCCTTCAGCGCCATAAGGAGGGTCCTGGGAGTTCGAGCATCGATGATGAACTGGAGACGAGGCCGGTTTCGACCGCCATTCTGAGCTTGCCATCCAGACCTCACTTGGGGAGTTTCCAAAAATTTGGGTACCTTATTTTGGGGTCCTTATAATAAGGATCCTATTATTTAGGGTACTATATTAGGGTCCCCTATTTTCGGAAACCCCCATTTGGGGAAAGACCCCTCCCGCCTTCCGGTGCACGTTCCAGGTATCCTCCGCGTGCAGTGCCGAAGCCTCGAGCCAAAGCAAAAGCCTCGGCAAAGACCGACAGGCGCCAGGGCTAAGACAGTGTCGGAAAAATTGGGACGATTTGGGCCGGGTCTTTGGCTTTAGGGTTTAGGGTTTAGGGTTTAGGGTCTATAGGGTTTAGGGTTCAGGGTAACCGAACATCTCAGAAAACATGGGCAGGCAGGCCACAGCACCAGCGCCGCCAGTGCCAGCGACTGCCACGAGAGCAGCCGCACCGCACCCGGTGCAGAACAGAGAGAGCGAGGTGCCCTTCATCTCCCCTCCGACCCGCCCTAGTGTCTGAGGTTCAAAGTATCAGGCTTTCCCTGGGCTTCGACTCCTTTCCCCGCACCATATTCGAAGCCCGTCCCCGCTGGCCGAAACGTTTAAATCTCTGGCACCCTCATTGTTCAAGTTGCTGGTCTCGCGGTGCCCATTGATCATTCAGTTGGGACAAGCCTGTGAAAGCGAAGCAAATTGCTGTGGAGGCTCATGCGGCTTTGGCACGAGTCCTTTCTGTCGCCGTTCAGCGCATTGACCAGCGACTTTACTGCAACCTGGGAGTGCACGGCAGCCCAGCCGGTGTAGGAGTAGGGCAGACCAGTATCACGCTGGTGAGCCAAAGTTGCAATTACGGCGCGACACTCAGTATGTTCAGTAATACCGGAAGCGTAGGGGTAATAGCGCTCAGATGGTAATACCGCAAACCTTGCTGACAGTCAAAGCGGTGCCACTCCTAGGCTACTACTACTACTACTACTACTACTACTACTACTACTTCTACTACTACTACTACTACTACTACTACTACTACTGCAGTCCCAATCCCGAAGGACGGCGGAACTCGACGAAACCCAGACAATTTCCATTGCATTGATGCAAACCAATGCAAACCCAAGCAATCGCCGGAAACACAGAAAGAAAGAATCAACGCGGTCAGAAAGAGGGCGGGGGCAAGATGCGAGGCCACATCCCGATTGACACAACCTCAGGACTGGAATCGACCAAGTTGTCGGTCTGGATCAAGAGGCACGGACAGCATGCACTGCAACTCCTTTCTGTGACTATGAAATATACAGTTATGTGCCACGGGCATGTTCAGGAGTATCGGGCAAAGAATCGACGCTTCAAGCGCGACCTGGAGGCCGTTGCCAGTGGAAGTGTGAGTCGAAAGTGAGGAAGGTGCCTGGCAGTATGCCGAAGCCGGGCAAGTGTTTGCTCATGTTTCGGACCGGGAGCCGATCTTGCATCATACTTCCCGGCGTAGGAACAACTTGGTCCAGCAGAGCTAACACGCTTCAAGGACAGGCCTTCTGACCGATTCTTGCTGCCCAGAGTTCCGGGGGGGGGGGGGGGGTTGCGCGTGAACGTGCCTCGCAGGAGTGCTCAATGCAATATCGCGAGTCGCTCCGGGATGGTGCCGGTCCGAGAGCAGCAGAGACCTACGCTCAGAGGCCAGTGCCGTGCTCGACCTTGTCCTCCATGCA